GGCTTTGACATAGACTCCTCTGGCTTCTCAGTATTCTTCTCTCTGCAGTGCTACCTGTCCTGGACTTTATCAGCTCTGAGTCATTTGAAGCACTTTTTTTAAACAACACAGTCAAACCAAACGTGTCAATTACTTTTGAATCCTTAGAATTTTGGCCCTGTGTGTTAAAATGGATTTATTTTCACCACAGTTATTTCAATATTGAGTTAAACAAGATGTTCTGTCCAAGTAACAGAAAAAGAAATATTTTCATTTTATATTTTATGTGTCCTTCTTACTAGTACCTGCATTACCTACTATTACCACAGGGGCCAGCAATTGAGTTGCAGACGCTGGTGTGTCCTGTTAGTAGTGACTTACAGCTGTAAACAGTCTTTTTCCACATGAGCAGAACCCCCCCAACACCTGCAAACACATTGTAAATAGGATTTAACCTGGTGCTACTCTTTGTCTGTCTTCCACTCCCTGCTTTGAATAGTTGTTCTACCAGCTGAAGGGGGACATGTGTTTGAAAGTGATTGAAAATGGCAAACACAAGGACGTGCACATCAGAGAGGGAGAGGTGAGCTTTAATGTCTTTAATATGCATTACTATTGCATTTTATCTTTACGTTACACCTATGGAGTCCATCTTTAAAACAATGTAATGCCCCCTACTAATGAAAACAAGGAACTGCAATGTGCTTGTGATGAACTTTATTGTTGTGACAACCTGCATTCTATTAATTTCCGTCCCATTCGTAGATGTTTCTGCTGCCAGCTCGGATCCCTCACTCTCCCCAGAGACAGGCCGACACTGTAGGACTGGTGGTGGAGAGAAGACGTCTGCTGACAGAGACCGACTGTTTGAGGTTACACCTCTCGTCATTTTCTTATCTCTTCTGAAGGAGATAAAAACAAACAAAAAAAATAACGGCAGAAAATGTACAGAAATATACAAAGGGGCATTTCAATCAGAAGCAAGCCATTCAAAGCCAAATGTACTTTACAAAAACAAACTGACAATTAGATCATCTGATCCTTAGAGGGCTGCAGGAAATACAAGGAGTACAGCTTTCTGCAGTTGCGTTAATGCATTGCAGAGTAGGTGACAATACAGCATTGTTTGTGCTCCAGAGGGTCTTGATACAATTTCAAAGCTGCATACTGGTGTTCAAATGAAAACTCCGTAAGAAAAGATGGTAATAATATGTTTAGGGTCATTGTGCTGTTGCATCACCCAACTTTTACTAAGCTTTAACTGTGTAGCCACACTTGCATTATTCTGTACAATACATGGACTGTCAATTAAAAAACAAATGTATGCAGCTTGCCTGTCTTTCAAGTGAAGCCAGTGTGGTAGTGCCTTAAACCTACATTCTTTCTAATAGCCAGCAGGGGGCGACTCCTCTGGTAAATTTCAACTGCATAGAAATCTATCAGAAAATGACCCTACTTGCCACTGTATTTATTACCCCAGCAAAGATTCTCCTAATGAGTTTATGGTCTCAATCACTAGTTTAAAGTCTCCTGCTTTAGACAATAAAGCAGGCTATGCTGTAGGGCCTGACTACCTTTTGACCAGGTGTCCGTAAGTTCTTCCGCCAGATCCGCCCTTCGCTTGTCAAGTTCCAAAAGACCAAGTTGGCAGGGTCAAAACGTAAAAGTCAAGGCTTCGAAACTGTAGTCCACAAACCAACAAACGACACTGCAGTCACAGTTTCTTTCTTTATGTACAGTTCATGATAAAATACTTTGATAAACTTTGTAATTCTTGTCCCCTTTAATAATGCTGTCCAGGCCCAGAGGAGAGCAAAGCAGCCCCAACATCATGACGCTCCCACCACTGTAGTGATGATGTTACCTCCTATGGATGCACTGTTGCCTTTGCAGTCCGAGAAAAAAGACTTCCTGTTTTACATCTCTTCCCAAAACAGCCATAAACATCATTGCTGTATTCAAATTTGCAGGTTTCTCAGTGACGTAAAGCAGAACTAACATGAGTGTGTGTTGGTGTTTTCAGGTACTATGTGGACAACACAACTGACACCCTGTTTGAGAAATGGTTCTCCTGCCAGGATCTAGGAACTCAACTAGTGCCAATAATCAAAGAGTAAGACATTTTCTCACCTTTAAAAACAATGCATCAGATCAGGTTGTTTAAGTATGATTTGTTTGGTTGATTAACTTTTTTCTTGCAGGTTCATGGCGTCTAAGCAGTACGAAACAGGAAAACCTGATCCAAGTGAGTCTTCTATTCAGAAATGTTGTTAAAAGTGTTTTGTGTCTCGAGGGTAGAAGCATTAAAATGTTTATCTTTGACTGGACAGATGAAGTCTTCAGAGAGCCTCCGTTCCAGTTTAACACCATGAACGTGATGTCACCCTTCTCCTTCAAAGACTGGCTGGAAAAACACAAGCCGTCCCTGGGCAACGGCAAGTCCATCGACATGTTCGGAGCTCAGTTTGAAACAGAGGTACAAGGAAACCTTTTTACTTTGATCAGCTTGTTGCTGATTATTTAACTGACCCTTGGCTATTGTTGTTCACCAAAGTTTTAACAGTAGAGAACTGTTAAAGTATACAATGTCTTTTGTAGAAAACAGGTTCATATTTCTTAAAGTAAGGTATAAAAAGTAGCATTACTTTTTCAGTAACAAAATTTTGTGTTATGTCGAGCTTGTGGAAGTTCCCTACTGGCAATATGGATAAAAACATGCCACAGCAAGTTCTGACTGCATAGTTTATGACACAAAGGCAGAATTACAATTGAGACAATAGCAGCATATGAGACATACTGCAGATGATGAGAGATAAAAAAGATCCTTTTATGACCCTAACAGGCAACAGTGTTTGGACCTGGGCTGACAGAGACGTCAGTGCGACAAAGTGATCTGTGGATTTGGCAGCTGGTATGTATGTGCAGTGTGTCCCAACCATCTGTTAGTGCTGCTGTATGTATAGGTTCTGATCAAAATGTTACAAGACTGTGCCGGTAAAAATCAAAAGCTGTACCTGATTTACCTTTGATTGTCAAAGTGGTCTGGTTGTGCACTCCCAGTGCTTCTGCGACACTTGTCACACTCCCTGGAAGCCCTATTATGTAAACATGCTGAGTACCATCTGTACTGAGCGGGAATCACCTAAACTGTGTCAAAGGATAACCCTTCAGCATAAATTTCATTTTAAGAAAGAGGAGAAGTTACAGAAAGACAAATCCGGCAAAGCGGGTGGGGAGTGATGTTGTTTTGGCCTTAGAACCTGTGTTTGTTTACTGCACCAGGACCATCCATCATGCACTAATTCAGGTTGTTTGCGCTGAATGTTCTTCTTGAGACAGCTCAGGCCATTACAGTAGACGGCTGTCTTGACATTGACCTGGAGTCCGACCCTGGGGGACTAACTCCTGGTGGACAACCCAATGAACGTTGAGTAAAAGAACGAGCATGCCCTTGGTGTGCTCCATAGACTGTATAAAAGATGGACGTAGCAACCGGCCCTGAAAAATGAAGCCAACCCGGAAGTGTCAAAAACCTGCAATATCACTACGTCCGCTAGTCCTGGCTCCAAAAAGCCCTGGCTCCCATAGAAATGAATTGGAAAGGAAGTGATCACAGATTACAAAATACCGCATTCCTACAGCTCAGGATTTTTTTCTTGTTAGTTTTCACAGTCAAATCCAGAGATCAGGTGGCCAATCTGAAAATAAATCAATACTGAATTTTTAAAAAAAACGTAAAAATTTTGTGGGGTAAGGGGCGTGGCTGGCTTGATTGACAGCTGGCAGCGACGATGCAGACGAAGCGAGCAGAAGAGCGGGCAGAGAGGGCCCGCCTCTCAATCCGTCTGACCAATCGCTGCTCCTGTGGCTCTGCCCCCCGCCGATGATTTTTGCGTCACTGGCTCCAAAAATCCAAGATGTCAACCAGGTAGTAGCAAAACCCTGGCTTCATTTTCTCAGTGCAGAAACCAACAGGTGACGTCATGGTAGCTACGTCCATCTTTTATACAGTCTATGGTGTGCTCCTGACCGGATGTCCCTTGTCCAGTTTTGGAAACTGTGGGCTCTTACAATGTGAAAACAGTTTTCTCTCTGTGGTAGCCACAGACCCAACTCTCGTCACCAGCGATGCTCTTCTCCGTGAGGGTTGGATCGTCTCAGCTGCTGACTGACACAGATTGTGCTGTTGTATCACAGATGCACCCATCTGTAGTCACAAATACATATGTAACACATGTCCTTATGTTGATAGTTCATGTGACTCATGACGATCACTGCTTGTGTATGTCACATGCGCATAAGCATGACGCACTCCATGTGCACCACAGTCTCAGAACTTTTTGATAGTCCTTGATACATGTGCTTGACCTGCTTTCTCTCAGCCAAATGTATTCATCTCTATTTTGTTTACTCTGTCTGTTTCTCAGGAGGGATCCTCCAAAGTGACTGTAAATGAGCAGGAGTTCACCCTTTGTGCAGGAGACAGTCTACTAGTTCCTGAACAGAGCCAGTAAGTCAATGTTAATGAATAACTGCCAGAATCAATATCCAAGATATTCCAGTGTTGTTTTAAAGGAAGCGGTTTGACAGTCATGACGGAAAGATTACTTCCTTTAAACGAACAAAAATAGAAAACAGTATATGGTTTTCTCTTTTGTAGATACCAGTGGCAGAGAGATGAGGGGACTGTTGCCTTGTGTGTGGTCCAAAACCCAGAGCGGAAGAGACCCTAACCATCTACTGCTAATTCACACAAATACAGTATATTTACCTGTGAGGATGTAAGTCATGTAAACTCCTGTGCTTCACATACAGCTCTACTGGTCAATGAACACTACGATGTATATTATTGTCACATGTGGTGCAAACTGTGCACTCACTGAAGTTTTGTTAATTGCTAATGAAAGTGAGCGTTGACCCATTTCAGCACAAGAAACTGCTGAAATTGAAACTGCACTCTGTCATTTTGCCACTGCTTGTACGTTTATATTAGTGTTGAGAGAAAACAAATAAAGAAATATTCTGAGAAATAGAAATGCATCATGTGATTATTTGTCTTAACACACACTCTCTTCAACAGGTGATCAGTTAGTTAAGCTTAATGGCTGCCACTGTTTATCAGTTTTGTAAAACTTACTTCTCCGGTGGATTAAACCCAGTGAATGAAAGGATGTAAAACACATGTCTGAGCAAGTATCAGGAATGTAACTTTGTTGTCAGACGATGCTCAGGAGTTGCGTGCCAACTTCTGCTTGAATATTATTTAATCCACGTTGTAATTGAGGTGACCTTTCTGAGAGAAATCCCAACTGCTTGGGCATGAGTCCAGAACAGATTTCCATGTGCGACGTGTTAGGACACATCCATAAAATTTAGAACAATAAACCAAGAATGGGTGCAGCTATTAATGAGGCCAAAGTTCTTGTTTGATTGTTGTAGATAAAATGCCAACATAAAAAATAGAATGCACATCAATCTGCTACTGTGTTTATTAAGGACAGGATTATTAGATTTTGTGAATATACACTGTATTCGTGCACAAACCTGGAATTCAAACGGGATTTGTACTCCATCCATCCATCCATTATCTATACACCGCTTAATCCTCACTAGGGTCATGGGGGGCTGGAGTCTATCCCAGCTGACTTAGAGTGAAGGCAGGAGACACCCTGGACAGGTCACCAGTCTATCACAGGGCTACACTCAGAGACAGACAACCAAGCACACTCACATTCACACCTACGGACAATTTAGAATCAACAATTAACCGTAACATGTTTTTGGACTGTGTGGGAGGAAGCTGGAGAACCCAGAGAGAACCCACGCTGCACAAGGAGAACATGAAAACTCCACACAGAAAGATCCGAGGCGTCCTAACCGGGACAAGAACCGGGGACCTTCTAGCTGTGAGTCGACAGTGCTAACAACCGATCTAGGATTTGTACTGATGTGGACATTTTTAACCATAATGTTTCATTGCAAAATTGATTAAACAGTTCTAAATCCTACTTTAGATATCATTTTGTTTTTATTAAAAATATTCTAATAAATACGTTTTTTAAAATCTTGTAAACGTGGTCGTATGGTGTGTGTTTTTTTTTAATATATGCGATAAGACATGTCAGTCAATATCATGACTGACAATCTAAAAAAAAAAAAAAGAACTCCAGGATTTCTTACTGAAGCCATCTTTTTCAAGTCTGTGCTAAAGCAAACTAAGTCCTGGCTCTATACATATTTACCAGACCGGTATAAGAGCAAAGCAAGAAAACAACTGTTCCTATAACGCCGTCATACAGTGTGTTCAAGTTATCTACCAAACCAGTTCTTCCATCAAAATAATTGACTTCAAGGTGTGGGAAAAAGCTCACAGAGTGAACTGAAGCTGCCAGTTTGAATTTGTCTCAAGTCAGGCAGCTATATCAGAACCCTTTAAATATGAAAATATCAAAAACTGAGTCATGTTACATTGTTCCTACAAACTATTTCACAAAATGTGTTGTGGCTGATTTTGGAAGCACATGATGCTGGTCGTCAGGATGTCAGTTCAGTTGTGCAGCCTTATCCTCAGAGTGTTCCTGATCACATGCTGCTCTGCTATAAGTGCTGCCACAGCCCAGGGCACAGCGTACTCCAGGGTCACCAGTCCTCCCAGGTTGTACCTATAATTTGAGTAGTCCCATGGACAGGCCCCCAGCAGCCTCAGCCCCAGCCCCCAGCTCAACTCCCAGAAGTAGATGAACATGGTGTAGGCCGTCAGTCGCACAGGCAGTGAGCGAGCCAGCAGCACGGCCCTCAGGCTCTCCATCAGGTAGATGGCAGTGGCGTACATCGGCAGCGCCCACAGGCTGCTGTGACCCGCCAGTCGTCTGTCCTGGGTGCTGCACCAGTCCCACACAGCGGTGAAGGCCACCTCACACAGGCAGCCATGCAGTGCGTACACATAGAGACGAAGGAGGGCGGACAGAGGACAACTGGGGACGCTGTCCTGGGATTCTGCAGGAGATTCATCTTTAACGCCAGTCCCTGCCACAAAGAAACAGAAAGGACTGTGTATTTTTGGCCATTTGGAAAGTATTATAAGACATTCAAGGTCTATATATAAATAAGCATTTGAGGTTAAAGTTCTCTTCATATTTAAGTGCAGAATCTGCAAAATGTTGCTTCTGAGTTAAACTGTAACACAACAAACATCAGTGAATATGAAGCAGCAGCCATCAGCTGGTTCACTTAGCTTAGCATGAAGACAGGAAGTGGAGTAAACACTAGCTGGCTTGGTTTGAAGGGAACAAAATAACTATTTTTAAAATCTTATTTCTTTAGTTTGTACAACAGCTTAACAGTAAAAATAGCAAGTTATGTTTGTTATATTAGATGGCAGACTATTTCTTGGCCTGGAACTGGGACTTCTTAAACTTTCTACTGACTTTCAGACAACCTCAATTTTGGTACCCAAACCCCCACCCAGCCACAGATTCTCATTTTTATAGTTTAATTTCTTTGCACAATAAACAAACAACATGCACAAATTAATGACCTTTGGAAGAGCTGGTAGGTGAGCTGTGTTAGCTGTGAACTGCACCAGGCTAGCTGTTTTCGGTCCTTCTGCTACTACAGACAATGTTAAAATAAATGCAGATAAGTAAAATTAATGACTACGACAGAAGTGCAGTTTTGGTATTGCCCACTCTTTACATTTTTTTACCCAATATATATTTAATAGATACGGTGGTAACACATGTCAGTAACAGCTACCGCTTCTCTGCTAAGCCAGGCTAGTTAGCTTTTAGCTAAATAGCCTTACCTGGTGTTACATTTTTCTTCATAGCAAGAATTAGTTATTGTCTTATGTGGTATAACAAATTAAATTCTTAATGTGTTGATACAACAAAATAAAAATTAAGCAAACAGGAATGAGTGGCTAAATTACCTTTAGCGAAGGCTAACAGCTAGCTTTACTTATCCGAAGTGCATTATACTGCAGTTTTTGTTTTTTTTGGTTCTCTAGTTTCTGTCAAATATTCATGTGGTGTTTAGCCCAAAGCTGCAAGCAGAATAGAAGAAACATTTTAATGATAAGATGTCAAAAAGATTATAATTTTGTTTTTGTGTGTACACTAGGATTTTCATTTTTGTCATTGAAAGTCATGAAAAAGCAAAATGATGAATTAAATTGGAAATTACTGCAGGAGAAATGTATTTTCCTATTGAAAATTTACAACACCTAGTGGATAAAGGGTGGGTTGTTTCAGACATGATTTTTACAAATAATCAGAGCATATTATTCAAAACTCTCAGGCATGAAAGCCTCCAGTCTAACCAACCACTCATCAGCTAGATTGCTTTTAAATTCATAGAATCATCTTCAGCTAATCTCTTTACAGGTTGAAAACGTTTCCTATGAATCTATCCAGCATTTGCTTTACGATGATCCTCAATTTAATACAGCTTATACTGTGATTTTTATAAATATGACAGGTAATATCATTGTTTTTTGCTAGAATGTCTTCCACATGTTATGTTACCTCTAGTCTACACTGTCCTGTTTCATGCCACAGGACACACCGGCACAGGGTACCGGCTTTAAAGTGGATTAACGGACTAATAGCCCTGCTTAGTAAACTAAAGGCTTGGAAAATCTTCAACAGGTTTTCACTCGGTGCTAGAAAACAATAATTCATTCATCAAAACCTGTCAGCTAGTTGACTGTAACTGTCAATTATTTCTACTAAACTAACAATACAATCAAAAGTAATTTAACATTAGCATTGAATTGAACTCCATCACTTCACTTTTTCACTCACTGAAATAAGGATGCAATGCTGTAATGATGAAACTGTGATCCTGGGCAGTCATTAAAGATAATATTAAAAAGCAAACAGTTATAACTCTCACCTTGTTCACTACTACCTCGCACTCTCCTCACATTTAGCTTTCTCGCCTCCATCCCTGGCCGGCATATGGGACTCTGTGCCTTTGTAATCCCTCTTCCTCCCTATGTGTGTATGTGTGTGTGTGTGTGTGTGTGTGTGTGTGGTTCTTGGGCTAAACATTAAGCTGCCCCACGTTATCAGAGTGAGACAGTGATGTCTCTGTCACAGACTGAACTGAGGAAGCCAAACCCTGACCACCTGAGGGAAAACTGTGTGTAGAATCAATACTGGCATTGATCTCAGAGTGGCCGCTTCACTGTTCTCTTTAAGCATACAGTAAGTGTGCAAATAAGTGTATTGACGTATTGCTGTCACACAGAAGCCCCATATAATACTATACCTGAGTCATGTTGTGGGTCAGATTGGGGGTCATCAGTGAGCCACGGTACCTGGGTGTGTCTAAGAGGCTGGTTGAATATATACTCGTATTGATAGATGAATGTACTGGATCTGTTTAAAATTTACACTACATCCAAGAAAATTCAAGGACGGCAATATTGGCATGTCCACTACTTTGGTCCAGACTAAAATACCTGAACACATATGCAGTGGATTGCAATGAAATTCAGACATTCGTGGTTCCCAGAGGATAAATCCCTCTGACTTTTGTGATCCCCAGATTTTTTCTTGATTACCACGAGCAGCCAAACATTGGCAGTTTTGGGTGAAGTGTCTATAAAACTGTTGAAAATTAAAAATTTGCCATGAACAGTACAAACAGCAATGTTCGAAATAGGATTAATTGTAATAGCAAATACAGTGTTTTGTTTAACACCACCAGCAGGTCAGAATGTCGATTAATTCAATATTTAAGTTTAGGC